TTGAAACAAATTCTACATATAAAAGAAATCAAGAAAACTTGGTATCAAAATTTGGTATTAGAGCAGGAGAATCGAATGCTGTTGACAAAAACTGAAGAAATAGCCAATGCAAGTTTTAATTAATTTTTATGCTCATCAGCACCTAGATTTCAGACAGAAAAAAAATGTAGTTTTTTCCGATACTCATTAGACTTTCATTATATACTTCAGAGACTCACCGTTACACTCTCAGGACACTTATTTTGAAGTGTCTTCTACTGCAATCCTTAAATTTCATGTCGATATGCCATGTCGTTTGAGTTATATAAAATTTGTCTATGTTGGTATTGGTTTTTTTTAAGAGAAAAAAGGGGGAGGGGGTGTATATAAGTATTTGTTAAAGTGAGAGATGTAAATATGTCCACGAACTCAAGCTTGATTGTGACCTTTGGGTGAATGGGGTTAAAGGTCAAGGTCATTTATCGAGGTCAAAGGTCAACGGCATAAAAAACATTATAAACTTGAGTTTAACACTTGAAGCTGAATCAAGCTAAATATAATAAAGATTTTTTTACTAACTATTGAGCAAGGGTCAAGGTCAAAGGTCAAAGTCAGGTATCAAAGTCTAAGGTCATTAAGGGAAAGACATATATAAGCAATTTTAATACTTTTCCAATGACCTTGACCTTTTGATCTTGACGTAAATTTATTTCTTATAATCGGAAGTTGTTTTTTGTTTTGTTTTTGGTGGGGTTGACATATTTCAAAACTACTAATTAGATGCAATAATGCAATGCCAAAAAAAAAAATGGAAAAAAAGTTGAAATTTTCGATTTTTTAAATCACTTCTTGTGACGACCGGAAGTGACGTCGGAGGCATTTATCCCTATATCTGTTGCCACTGTTCAAGGTTTATTATTCATATAAGTTTATTGTCTTGATCTGTTACCATTGCCAAGATCTGGCTATGCTTACTACTCAGTTTGAGGACCGGAAATCACGTGACCGGAAGTCAATTTTTAAAAAGATATTTGTAATCACTCGAGACATTTGCAATCTGCATAACGTCTCTAAAATCATTTCAAATACTCATTCTATAAAATATATTAATGGCATAGTATGATACTCAATTTATAAAGTTTTTCTCTCATAACCGAAAGTTGCTGTGTTTGTTTCTTTCGGGACGGACATATATCGGAACAACAATTAGGATGCAATAGTGTGGTGTCAAAAAGTATTCCAAAAAGAAAAGTTGAAATTTATGATTTCTTTAATCACTTCCTGTGACGACCGGAAGTGACGGCGGACGATCTAATCCTAACTGTTTTTGCGTACTCATCAAGATTAACCACTTCATTAACTTTGGTGTCTTAATCTTTCACTGTTAACGAGATCTAGCTATGAAAACTTCTCATTTTGAGGACAGGAAATCACGCGACCGGAAGTGAGTTTTGCAAAAATTCTAGATGTTAATGTAGACAGTTGCAGTCTGAATAACATATCCAAAAAATCATTACAAATACTTTATAAATAAATGATATTTATTGGAAAGAAAAATACTGAAATTCTGTAGTTTCCCTCTTATAACCGGAAGTTGTCTTTTTTGTTTCCGGTGGAACTGAAATATTTCAAAACTACAAATAAGATGCTATAATGTGATGCTAAAACAGTTTCATGAAAGAAAAGTTGAAAATTTTGATTTTTTTATCACTTCCTGTGACGACCGGAAGTGACGGCGGACAATCTTATCACAGCCGAATTTGCCTACTCATCAAGACCTATCAATCTAGATAAGTTTGGTGTCTTAATCTTTTACCGTTTACGAGATCTAGCTACATGTATGATAACTTCTCATTTTGAGGACCGGAAGTCACGCGACCGGAAGTGAATTTTACAAAGATATTTGAAGTTACTGTAGACAGTTGCAGTTTGAATAACATATCTAAAAATCATTACAAATACTTTATCTATAAAAAATATTTATGGGAAAGAAAAATACTGAAAATATGCAGTTTTTCTCTTAAAACCGGAAGTTGTCATTTTTGTTTCCGGTGGGACTGACATATTTCGAAACTACAAATAAGATGCAATAATGTGATGCCAAAAAGTTTCAAAAAAGAAAAAGTTGAAATTTTCGATTTCTTTGATCACTTCCTGTGACGACCGGAAGTGACGGCGGACGATCTTAACCCAAACGGACATGCCTACTTCTCAAGATCTATTACTCATATAAGTTTGGTATCTTAATCTTTTACCGTTTCTGAGATATGATTCAGACAAAATTATTTTGAAAAAAGCGGAAATCGGACATATCTGACGACCGGAAGTGAATTTTGAAAAAGTGAAAACTGCATCTGAAAGATATTTTTACTCTCTATCATTCCTGAAATTTTCATGAGAGTCCGTCCTCTCATCTCTGAGAAATCGTATTTTTAAAAAGGGAACAAAAATAATAATAGGAAAAAGAAAAAGAAAAAGAAACAGTAGAATCACTATAAGGTCTTCCGTCTGAAACGGAAGACCTTAATAATAACTAGAAAGTCTGTTATTGCAAGCAATAGCATATGTCGCCCCGTACTGGACAAAACTTTCATATTTATCATCACTAAAACAAGGGTCCATTAGCTAAGCTTGGACAACCATAGAGTCGTATAAGTCCTTTTTGTTGGAAATGGAAGACCTTAATTGGGTACATCCCACTAATTATTTTTAGAATCGGTAGGAGAAGAAAGTAGTACAGGAAAAAATTACAAGTTCCTAAATTTGCAGACTTGCATAAAAGAAATTGGGCAGATGTACTTAAATGAGCCTTGTACTTGTTAATTGGCAGTATCTTTCCTACCAAAAAAACTTGGCAAATGTAATTTATTAAGAAGATCAGCCGAATTATTTTGTGTATTATAGCGCCAGTGAGAACTCTGAAATTTCCTTCCTTTCACTTTCATTTTTAGAGGTTCTGCCGGAAAACGAATCTGACATGACACCTTCAATTCCAGCATTTCTGCATTGCACAGGGCTGATGTTTCTTATGAGATGATAAATCATGTGTAAACTTTCTCAGTTTAGCGGAATCATGAAAATTTTCGGCGATATGAATGTTTTGTTTACAGTAGTGATCAAGGCTTTGCGCACCTGTAGGCGTGGATCCAAGGATTTATGAATGAATAAAAGTATAGAAATAACGTACCAATTTTTCTATTTTATACTTGCACTATCTAATGAAATTAGTAATATACAAGTAATAGATATGCATGTACAAAAAAAAAAAACGCGAAATGCTAATAAATGCAGCTGACAATCGTTATTTTTTATATAGATAAAATAAACTAATTATAAAATCTAGAGACAAGACAGAAGAAGAATGGATGTTGGCAAACTATCAAATCACTTCAGGAGAACTGAATTTTATGAATGAAACTTTTAAAACGTTACTTGTAAGGTGTATATGTTATATCTGTATATTCTAGCTGGCAGTGCGCTTCAAAAGGGGGGGGGTCGTCTTGAACATAGTACCTAATGTTTGAACGGTAAGGGCTAGGGCTTTCGTATTTCAAATATGCAATCCTTGTGAAATGAACTTTTATTGGACACGAAGAACTTTGACCCTTTGACCTAGACCTTGGAGAACACATGTGTACATCTTAACCTTTTTTTCTATTTCGTTTCTATGACAACTGTGAGCGACTCATTTCAATTATTTTAAAAGTAGAAATCACTTTGACACATTGCAAGGAATTCACATTGAAAGTTTCAAAACGATTGCTTGAGTAGTTATTGAGAAAATCGAAATTAAAGAATTTTAACATTCCCCTGGTTTCCATGGCAATAATCGATTATTTGAAAATTTTAAATGCAAAGCGCACAACTACAGATACTAATCATTAAAATAAAAAGAGTTTCATGACGAACGTTTAAGGGACCAGAGAGAACACTCGCGGACAAAATTCGTCGCTTTTTACAGGTTTCCATGGCAACGGTAGACATATTGGAACTGAACGACCTCACTGCACAACTACAACCAGTGATCGTCCTTTGGGGAAAATTTCAGGAAGATTGTCCCAGCCATCTCCGAGAAACAGCCTGGATAAAAAAAACATGCGTACAATATCAATATGTCGTCCCCGACTTCGTTCGGGGCGACATAATAATAAAAAGAAACAGTAGAGTCACTATAAGGTCTTCCGTCTGAAACGGAAGACCTTAAATATTCTTTGATAACTAGTGTGAGTGTGTTTTGTTTTTTCCAATATGAAAATTCAGGGGGAAAATGAGTTTTGGTTGAAAAGCTGGGCTAAATTGAATAATTTATAGTACAGTTTCTGTTGCGGAAACCTATGGTACACCATATGTATTTCAACCATATACGCATACTGAAACCTTGTGTAAACCTCAAGTTTCAGCAAGTTTCAGTTGCGGAAACCTATGGTACACCATATGTATTCCAACCGTATACGCATACTGAAACCTTGCGTAAACCTCAAGTTTCAGCTAGTTTCAGTTGCGGAAACCTATGGTAAACCATATGTATTTCAACCATATACGCATACTGAAACCTTGCGTATACCTCAAGTTTCAGCAAGTTTCAGTTGCGGAAACTATTTGGATTCGTGGACACCTTTGGTTTCCGCACTGCGGAAACTTGATGAAACTTGAAGTTTCCGCACTGAAACTTTGCGGAAACTATTAGTAACCTTAAGTTTCCGCAGAGTTTCAGTAGAGTTTCAGCCATGCGGAAACTGTATTTTTCATCCAGTGCTTGGGTCCAGATTAGGGAATTGTTTTAAGTATGATAAATAACTCAATGATGTTGAATAGTTTAGAGAAAACATCCCCTCTTCGGGCCTTCGGTCCTCGGAGAGAATGTGTTCTCTACATTATTCAATACCATCTCGTTATTTATCCCTTACATAAAATTTTCAGTTTGGCTATTATTGTTCTGTCGTCCGCGAAATGACAAAAGAATTCATTTTATCATAGCCTGACAAAAATGTATATCTTTGATTTTTTCTTACATTTTGAAGAAAAGACAAAAGTAGGATTACGTGTAGTTCGTGGAGTTGATTGGGATAAAGGAAATGAGGACGGAGGGGAAGGAAATATTGGAACTGTCGTGGAAGTCCTGGATGACTCTCAGCAGGTGCGCGTTCAGTGGGACTCTCAAGAAACGATCAACGCTCACGAGAACCCGGACAAGTTTATTTATAGAACAGGGAAGGACAGGAAATACGAACTGCGCCTTTTTGATAACGCGCAGACAGGTAGAGTATTGAATTTATGCAAACTTTAAACTTTACCTAATGA